GAGTCTGTTTTCCCCGTTGGCCAGGATTGGTGAGTGCTCTCTCCCTGTTCTTATCTCGACCCTTAGTCCTTTTGTTACATTTTTCTCCTCTCCACCTCACTGGGGCAGGGTGGGGGTGAGTGTGTTGAGGGGGGAGCGGGGGGGCACTGTGAGTGGACAGCAGCGTGGTGGCTTAGATGCCAGCTGGGCTAAACCACAACAGGTAGTATTTTTCTAAAGAATGCTCTAAGGCATATTCTAGTGAAACTCAGAAAATCAGAGAAAATTGTCAAGTCGCAACATATGGCCTTAATGTGTATGAGAACAATATTTTTGTCAGTTGTTAGAATATTATTATCTTAACTGCTGTTTATACTATGACTTTACTATTTGAAAGCTTGTCAGTGCATGCAGATGTCAAGAGTGCTCTGAGAACTTCTGTGATTGTTTGTTTGAGGAGACACTGTCCCATGCTTGGCTTTGAAACTTGGCAAGCGTGTCTGATCTGGGAGAGGGGTTGGACGTAGAGTTTCAGTGATGAAATGCAGCTGATGTTCAAAGAGAAAGTCTACTCTCAGAACGCTCTTAGGAGGCCACTGTGAAAAAAGACACTGAATATTTCTAAGAAAGCAATGAAAGTCATGTGTTATGAATACATGGTTTTCTCTCTTGTGCAAGTAAATAATACAGGCAAGATCAGAAGTACAGACTTTCACAGCAGCATTTGCCAACTTTCTCTCTTCTACTTTTCTGATGCTCATGTGCCTGAGAGGATAAATCAGGTCTGTCTTTATTCCTGAAATCCTTACTGGGGCAAAACTCTTGCCAAGATACAGGACAGAATCCTTAACTGACCTTGCTGCAAACTACATTCACATCATGTCTTCAGCAGAAAGTGAATCCCATGGTGGGCTCCTCTGCTCCTGCTACCCCATTGCCTACTTTGGAGATAGATTCCTTATCTTGGCCCATTTCTGGGCAGATGTCGGTGTTCACCTCCTTCTGTCAGAGTTGTCAGCGGGTTTTTGGAGGAAATACAGAACCCACAGTGCTGTGGTTGCATGCTTTCTCCTGCGGATGAGGAACAGAGATGTTTGCTGTGGCAGTGAGCAGGGCGAGCAGTCAGGCTGCCTGCAGGATGGAGAGGACCTCAACGTCATGCACGGTCAGGGTCCATGGGGAAGTCTGCTGCTCTTCTGCAGGGAGTTCACCTGCAGTATTAAACACAACTAAATAAGCCCTTTAAGGCTTCGGTAGCAGGGAAGAATGAAGATAGGTGCAGGCACTTTGGCTT